CACTGCCATATGATGCCCGGCATTCAAGAACATGCCAAAAAATGTTTGCATGACTTGTGGTACATCAGTTCCTCTTCAGTTGCTGCCGTTTCACATTGAATCCTGTCTGCGAGATGATGTAAGTAATGTAATCCATTTCCAATCAAGGGCAGTTCCATACCTAAGTAATTTTTTTAAACTGTAGTATTTTTGTCTCCTCAGTTTGTTTGGACAGGTATGAACATGTTAACTCTACTATAGACAAAATCGTGAGACCCAAATGAGCTTGGCAACAATCAAATTTGAGTGCCATTGAGATCATTGTGTGCAGTCAATCTGATGCAGCTAAAGGATGCTGTGTTATGGTGCAGTTAGTTCATGATTTAAGCAAGCGCTAGTAGTGCTTCTGCTTTTTATTACCATACTACTATAATAAGATCCCATTTCACATTCATCTCTAGTTATAGCAGACATATCCTAAATTATATTTCTTTGAAATAAGTTTTTCTTCAGGTTATTTGTCACATAACTGCAGAGTGCAGCATTGGATTTCAGAATGAAAACTGCCTCTATCCTCTTTACTCTGCCACTCCCTTTGAATTTTTATCATTTTAGTTCCTTGGTGTAGTCAGCATGACTTATATTGCAGCTACTTACGGGTGTCTCAGATGCAGTACACTCTTCTGTCTGTATCAGGATTTAGACCGTCAGCCATCTAAAATGTAGTCAGCCAATGTAGCCACTATGGTGTACAGAAACCCAGTTAGTTATCACTGGGTTTCTGTATGCCATATCATCTTGCCCTTTTAATTCATTTGCTGCACTACACTTGTTGTAAAAGGTGCTCATATCACATACATTTGTGCCAAAAAGTGTTCCAACATCATTTAAACCAATTATGCTGTATTTTTTTTTTATCTCTGGTCAAGGATTCTGGATATGTAGCAGAAGAACAGCCAAGCCAAAAGCCAGATGTTATTTGTATGGTACGCAGATATTCACATTAAAATAAATAAAACCACTGACAGTTTGTTACAGAATCCAGTAATAATCAGGCTAATTGTGAGTAAACTCCCATGCAGGTCCCAAGAATATAATATTAACTAGAGGGTTTATCTTAGATCCTGGTGTACCCACTGCCCTGCACATTTTAGTGTTTGTGCTCCAACACACCCACTTCAAGTCAGGAAGGGTTTGTTAAATGGGCTAATTAGTTGTATCAGGTGTTAAGAGCCAGGGAAGCACTGGAATGTGCGGGGTGAGGGGTCCTTCAGGTTCAGGGTTGGGAACCACTGGTTTAATACAAATAATAGTTAATATCATTTTGCACCTTGGCCTAAACAGGATTCGTGTCCAGTATGTGGAGAGCAGTTTGCTGCTGAGATAATGCCTTACCATGTAAGTTCATGTGGAGAAAGGTATTGTAAACATGCTAGTGGTATATCAACATGACAAATGAAATTTAAATAGATAACATTAATTCAAGCCATAAGAAAGTGCATTAAATGAGAGAGAACACACTATTTTGAGTTGAAACTACAAATATGTTTACTACATACTATTTTATATAGATTCTTTATATAAAAATGTGTGTGTGTCTGTGTGTGTATCCAGTATTCATATATGTTCCTTTCAAAATTGTTTTCTTTGTAGTTTTCCTCAAATGATTTCCACAATTATGAACAGGAATGTCACTAAAGAAAGTACATCACTACCAGTGGTTTCTGAAAGCACTGCAACTGAAAGCAGTACTGTTGGCCTATCCACTTCTGGCACAGCAGAACGTGAGTCAGCAGAGCTGCAATGCCTGAAGGTTGTTGTTGGTAAATTTATTTGTTTATTTTTCGGTAGAAATGTGTCTAACTTTTTTTTCCCAGCGTGGAAGAGGGCCGAAGTTCCACAAAGAGCAGCAGTGCTGTATAGAATGGGTTTGCTACATGAAAAAGAAACTGAACCACCATTGAAGTTCAGAATGGATATAAGAGAGGACGTGGAAGACCAGGAGGGAAGAATAATCAGCTTTTATAAGGTCCCTAAAGTAGACTGGGCCAGACCACTCTACTGCAAACTGGAAGGTAAATTGAACTTTTAGATGATTTGTTCTTAAATTACCGTTAAATTACCTTACTTTGAAACTATATGATCCATTGTCTGCTTGTGTAAAATATTATTGACAATTTGTGTTTTGAGCTACTTCTTTTTATTATTATTTTTTTTTTTTTTTATAGGTGATGTAGCCACTGGAGAGGGTGTTAAACGCCATTTCTTCAGCCTTGTAATGCATAAATTGCAAAGTGGATTCATCACAGATTTTGGTTCCCATCCACCTCTCAAGTTCTTGTGCAGAGTGATTTGTTCTTGATGGCAGGGAAGATGATCGGCCACTCCTTCCTCCATGGTGGCCCCCTGCTTGCTGGTCTGAGCCCAGCAATTATCCATGTACTATTAGGTGGTTCCACTCTCTGTTGAGAGTTAGACAGTTAAAACTGAGGCTGGTGAAGTTTGGTATCAGTATGCAGGCTCATAATGATACCTTAAAGAGAACCCTGACTGTGAAGACATGTCAAGACATGACATGTGGTTTATATGTCCAGTAGTACTAAAATAAAAATATACTTAAAAATAGACAAAATCCCCATACTAGTAGGTTGCCATTTTTTGTTAATAATGAACAAAACATTTACATTTAGTTTATACATAATTTTAATATCATTAAACTGAACAGTGTTAAGTCAGGATCCCCTTTAAACCATAGCTCCACAGAGATTTGTATTTTTTCTTGCCAGACCTCTTCCTTGTACTTGTCATTGTAGCTACCAGCAAAGGAATGGTGAAATATGAAATCTCTTATTTTTCTTGCACAGAAAATGTTTTGTATATACTCTAAAAGCTATAACTGTCATGTTGTGGCAGAATTTGTAAAATGATTCTCCTCAAGGCTATACAACATAGGACTCTACGAAAAATGCAAAACTGCCTTAAAGCAATGCTTTAACCTTGTCTCCTTATTAATTTCTTATTGATTGAATGACTCTGTAACACAGAGTCCCTCAGACTGTGTCATGTAATGCGGGATTGTTCACATTCTTAACCACCAAGTGTGCATGTATTCAGGGCATAATGTTCTAGTGTTTTTGTATGTTCTGTTCACATCATATCTAGGTGCTCACTCGAACCTCACAACAAATAAAGCAGCTCAGGCAGGGACTGAAGGAGTCAATGATGTGGCCACTGTTGGAGGCCAGGCCAGATGTGGTACCTGTGATTTTCCCACGTCACTCAACAGCTGAATGCAATGCTCAGGTTTGCCATTCCACACTCTCTTAACCCTTACACACTTTTCCATTGGTAAAAATCAATCCATTAATGGCACTGTATAATCTATTACATTTAGGTAGTTCTAGACAACATCATCTGGCCAAGCAAGGAAGAAACAGATAATGATGATGGCTTCCCAGTCGCTGTCAAATGCAGAATTGCTGGCTACTTACGGCAGTTTGTGGAGACTGGTATGTTATTATAACATTTTGTTTTTTGAGTTTGCACAAGCATTAATGAGCACACACAAAACTATACTTTCGTATTTTAAATCAAACTTTACATAAAGAATCCCATTTGTTAGATGATTTGATTTTTCAAGTATTCTAGAAATATCTATTTTTAGTTGCATATTCTATCACTGTGGTATAGGATGGTATAGTATGTGCACCAAAAGGGGGAATTGATCTATTTCAACCTGCAAAAGACAGCAATGGGCATATGTAACATAAAGGCCCAAATCCATTTCTTATTTTTACCCCTACTCCTTGTTTGAGTGTCACCTTGCCCCTTGGAAGTGAGTTACAAGGGGTAGTGTTTGTAATCTTCCCCTACGTAATGGGACAACCCTCAAAAGAACACCGCTTCATTAACAGGCTACTAGCGCTGCTCTGTAGGCGACCCTGCCAGTCTGCAATGATAGTAGAGGAGAGTAAAGTTCAGCCATGTCACTGCTGAGCTTTAGTTACATTTAAGGAATCAAATGCTTTCAAAGAGGGGGGATGTGATCAACAATTATCACCCACCTCTGACTCTTCGGTGATATGAAGACATTTGAATTGTGCACCATTTAAGGTGGAACAGAAAATTTAGCTAGCTAGCTATCAAGACATCAGCTACTACTAGCCATTTTTTATGCTTGTTATAATACATAATACATTGGAATGTCCTTAAAGTAAAAAAATACAATGGAAAAATTACTCACATTTGTGGGTTTCTTTGGTCACTTGCACAGCCATCTTGCCAGTGATTCACACTGCATTCTGAGAAATTTCTCAGAGCACTGAGTGTGTTCCTGAACAACCTCAGTTTGGAGGACTACGTAGCCCTAAAAATTCACCCTACCCCTCTAAACAAAAATCAGGACATCCTATCCCTAAGCATGAACGCGCAAAATGGAGAGGTGGGGTGACGTGTGAAATGAGATTGGGCCTAAATCCGTTATAAAAACACAACACATTCAGTAACATCTTTATGTCTATAGTTTATATTCAAAGTGACATCTAGCACTTTTTAAAGGGTTTTGGTTACTACCCATTAGTTTGTATGGTTCTTGCAAACCAGTTCTCAATTATGCATGATGTAGCTTTAACTTTTGTCTCCATTACAGTAACCAAAGACAAATTGAAGCAGTTGGTAAAATTCTGGGTGGGCTGGGAGCTGCCCATGAAAGACATGCAAGTAGAAGTGGTGCAGGCAGCCCACTTGTCATCACCTGCTTTCATATCCTGCGCTTACCTGGTCACTACACAAACTACAATGAGTTCTCTGATCATTTGGAAGGTTATATTGCCTGCAATGACAGTGGGTTTGGACTGATATAATTATGTAGGAAAAGAAGCATCAGTCGGTAAGGGGTTCTGTTTTTCACTTTGATCACTTACTCATGTATGCATGTTATCTTGGGATAGAAAAAAGTTCAAACTGTCCATTTTTGCACTGTTGCCCTTCCCCCAAATACTACAGTTCTGAAATACACACTGTTTAAACATGCAACCTTTTATTTTACTTACAAAGACTTTTTTTTTGTCAATTCATGTTAAACATGTTGGGTCATCTGAAACCTTTTCATTGTCCAAGTTTAAAATGTTTTAGATGTTTTAAGCCTTGTAGATGTTTTAGGAAAACTATTCAGCCTTTAATAGCTCTTTAGACAAGTTGAGGTTTTTTTTTAGTAATTGTAACCAATGTTTTGCATGTACTGCAGTGCTGCTAAATAAATATCAGCACCAAAACTTGTTGACTCTCTTATTGGCTCTACAGTAGACTTTAGTCCAGCAAATTCATGAGCTGTCAGTGGGCATTCTATTTCAGGGACCTGGATGCCAGAGTTGGAATCACTGGGCAGAAGTCCACTGCTTTCCCAGTCTATTTGTGGAATGTTCAGATTCTGTTAAATAAAATTTCAGCTTTAGTGAATGGAATAACAAATGTATACATAAATGGGGGAAAAGCGTTCAAGTTTAAAGTCATGCTTACTTCATCAGACTCTTGAGAGTGATATTGTTGTCCATGGTGCCACAGCTGATTGGGAGAGAGGTTGCCCTCTGTGCAAATAGAATGATTATCCCAGCCATCTCTGAATATGTCAAGGTGGGCTTGCAGGCATGGAATGAAGGCATAGTGGCAGCAAAAGATGTGCAGGCTGTTGGACAGATCAAGATGACCCTCATCCTCAAGCTGATGCAGGACGTTGTAGAAGTGGCTGGCGACTGCTGTGAACACATCATGCCACAAGCGCTCAATTCTGATTACAAAAAAAAACCCATCAGACACAGACTGGTTATGTAGGAATTGTAGATACTCATAAGGGTTTATTCATAATTACCTTTGATTATGGACGCTTTTGCCTGCAATGAAGCTACTCCTTCCTGTTCCCCGAACGGATAACACGAGCCACATCAACGTTCTCTGCTCCATGATCGCCCCACACCCTGTTAAAACACAAATTTGGCAACAAAACACTGCATATGGTTAAATGTGATTTTCTGGAGCGGGGGTCACCAATCTTGGCCGCAAATGCTGATGTGCCTTTTCACTGCAACCAAGCAGGAGCACACCTCGCATAACTGATCACTTATTTGAATACTGAGACTAACTGATTAAACCAAGTAAAATCAGATGTGCTTCTGCATGATTTCAATGAACACCTACTGCCATACTGGCCCTGACAAGATTGGTGACCCCCTGCTCTACATGTTTCACCTATACAGACTAAGGCTCTATGCAGGACAGTTTCCAGGAGATTAAATACAACAACTTTTGGTAACACTTGAGGATACTGTTTATAAGGCTATGTGACACCTACATCTCAAGTGAGTTGCTTGTCAAGACAACTGACATAACCCTACATCAGGGGGTGTCCAATCTTATCCACAAAAAGCCTGTGTGGCTACAGGTTTTCTATTCCAACAAAGCTGGAGATCACATGAACAGCAGTTTAAAGACTCGCAGCTTGTTCTGAATGAAAACCAGCAGCCACACTGGCCCTTTGTGGATAAGACTGGCACCCCTGTCCTACGTAAATGTTTACAAATGCTTATTCAAGTAGGCTATAAAGGTTACATTTGTCAATTTTGATCAAACTGAGGCTTTATAGCCTGACAGATGATGCCTACTGGAATAAGCGTTTATAAACATTTATGAACATATCTACATTTTAACATATTTATTTATTAATTTTTTAACCTTAGTGGAAGTCCAAACTTTTGAACTGCGTCATTGAAGAAAGCCAGAGTTGTTGAAGCCAGATTGTTATTTGACACACCAAGATACATTATCTACATGAAGAATACAAATGAGGAAAATAAACAAATTTAAAGAAAGGCTCAGGAGAACACCATTAAAATGTCATTCGTCACCTGAACCATTTTCCTGACTTCAATCTTTGAATTAATTTTGTCTGGTGATCAATATCCTCACTATAATACACAGCTATATGTATGGCTATCAACTAGGCCTATTATAGGACTACTTCAAATAATTACACTTACTGTGTGCTATGTAATATATTGTAACACATACATGTAATAAAAAAAATAATCATATTTAGTACCTTCCTGGAGAAGCCATCTATGCCTCCAAAGATCACCATGTTGTACCTTGGTCAATGAATTATATGTTTAATTTACTACAGTTGATGCCAAAGATAAATTGGAACATTATATTACTATTTATTTTATATTCATTACACAAACCTTATCAACTTGTGATTTGTATCGATGTGCATCAGTGACTTTGGGGCTGGCACAAGTGCATTATAAACATCTTGAGGAACATCTACTTCAGCTGAGACTGAACTAAGGAGTACCAGCTCCTGTGAACACACAAATTCTAAGTAATCTATATCAAGAGGAACACGGTCAAGCCAACTCAGAAGTCGAGTATGGAGCCTTTCCAATAAATGGCCGAGGAACAGTTCCTAAAACAAAGTAAAGTAGGTTAATTAATACTAGCCCAGATGATACAGATTTTTGCATACTATAGCAATATAGTTTACCTAATCACTCCTAGGTTATAGCGGACATACAAAATAAAGTACATATCCATTTCTTTTCTAGCTAACATTAAATTAACTATATCCAATTCCGAATGTAAAAATTGTGTTGGGGGCTAGCGCCACCAACTTGTCACTGATAATTCCAGAAACATGACTACACCAATCCTGGATATTGTTTAGAGCTGAACGTGAAAACCATCATATTGGATTTTTACAGTTAATGTTATCAAAATGTTTCCATGCAAACGCATTAGCTAATAAGCTAACTAAATAACTCGCCAGCTAGCGTGCAGTCACCATCTACCATTACCTTCATGGCAACACTATTACGAAAATTAAGACATAGCGTTAGGTTAATGTTAATGATGTTTACATTAGTATTAACGTTACCAAAAATAGGAATAAACTTACCGACTGAGCACGTCGTTCCATAATCCAACAGGGACGCTTTCTTAACCTAGCTAGCTAGTTATTTGGCGTTTAGCAACTTCGGTTGCTTCGTCTGGTGGCGTCCAGGTGTTTTTTTTTTTGTTGTTGTTTTTTTTTTTTTTTGCGCTAAAATAAGCTCCTTTGATTGGTCATGAGTAACGTTAACTAGCAGTCTTTGCTAGCTAGCTAGATTAACTACTCTTCACAATTTCTACGGCAGGCCAAGCTCTGTTAGCTGTGTTTAGGCAAGCTTAGCGTCGCTAGTAAGCTAACGCTAGCTAACTAAGGTAACTTAACTAGCTACATAACTTCATTACAGTTTGAGTCTACACTGAGTGACTATTTTGATCATATTTTAATACTGATTACTAAATATCGCTTGTCATGTTTGCAGTATTAGCAAAACAGTGTGGATAAAACGAACGGTTGGAAGGGTCGTTTGATGTGCCATCGGTGAAGGAGACAGATGAGAGGTTGTTTTCCTGCGCCTCGGCGTCCAGGAGTTTTTTTTTTCTTTTTTAAGATAAGATAAAATAAGATAATCCTTTATTAATCCCACAACGGGGAAATTTGCGGTGTTACAGCAGCACAGAAGACAGAGCAGCAGGAAATATACAAACAATATATAAAATAGAATAAACAATAAAAATATAAAGATATATGTATATGTACAAAAATTACAAGAAAAATATACAAAGTATTAAATTTAAATTTAGAAACGTAGAAATGTATGCATTGTAGTGAGTATTGCACAGTGAATAAAATAGCAAATAAATAAACAGTAATAAATGGAGAAATATTGCACTTGACATAATTGCACATAATGGTGGTAAACATGTTGACAATGATCCGCAGTGAATATACTACGCATGGTGGATTGAAATATTGCACACAGTAAAGTGCTATGGCAGTGATGTTGAGAGTTCTTGCACATGGAAAGTAATTGTAAACTACTGTCTACTGAGTGCCGTGACTGTTATAGAGTCTGACAGCGGCTGGGAGGAAGGACCTGCGGTATCTCTCCTTCACGCACCGCGGGTGCCGCAGCCGGGCACTGAAGGAGCTTCTCAGTGCTGTCAGAGAGCGGTGCATGGGGTGGGACAGGTTCTTCAGCATGTTTGTTAGTTTAGTCCTCATTCTCCTGTCCCCCACCACCTCCACTGGGTCAAGAGGACATCCCAGGACAGAGCTGGACTTCCTGATGATCTTATTCAGTCTCTTCCTGTCAGCAATGGAGATGCTGCTACCCCAGCACACCACTCCATAAAAAATGGCTGATGCCACCACAGCATCGAAGAAGGTCCTGAGAAGTGCCCCCTGCACGCCAAAGGACCTGAGTCTCCTCAGGAGATGTAGCCTGCTCTGGCCTTTCCTGTAGAGGGCAGCTGTGTTGTCAGTCCAGTCCAGCTTGTTGTTGAGGTGAACACCCAGGTACTTATAGAACTTCACAATCTCAATGTCCATTCCCTGGATGTTCACAGGCACTGGAGGAGAATGTTTGGACTTGCGGAAGTCCACCACCAGCTCCTTGGTTTTTCCTGCGTTGATCTGCAGGCAGTTCCTCTGGCACCATTCCACAAAGTCCTGCGTCAGTTCTCTGTACTCCCTGTCATCTCCGTCTGTGATGAGGCCGACGATAGCAGAGTCGTCAGAGAACTTTTGCAGGTGACAACTGGCAGAGCTGTACTTGAAGTCCGCAGTGTAGAGGGTGAAGAGAAAGGGAGCGAGGACAGTTCCCTGTGGAGCCCCCGTGCTGCAGACCACCGTGTCCGACTGACAGCCCTGGGTCCTCACATATTGCGGTCAGTTAGTGAGGTAGTCCAGGATCCAGGTGGTGAGGTGATGGTCCAGGCCCGTGCACTCCAGCTTGTCCTTCAGCAGTGTGGGTTTGATGGTATTGAAAGCACTGGAGAAACCAAAAAACATGATTCTCACAGTGCTCCCAGCATTCTCCAGGTGAGAGAGAGAGCTGTGTAGGAGGTGGATGATGGCATCCTCCACTCCAATGCCAGGTTGGTAGGCAAACTGCAGTGGGTCCATTGAAGAGCTCACCAGGGGGCGCAGGTGGACAAGAAGCAGTCTCTCCAGGGTCTTCATCAGGTGAGATGTCAGCGCCACCGGCCTATAGCTGTTGAGGTCTTTGGGGTGTGGGGTCTTTGGCACTGGCACCACGCAGGATGTTTTCCACAGCGCTAAAATAAGCGCTAAAATAAGCTCCTTAGATTGGTCATGAATAACGTCTCATCCCCACTGCCCCACCCACTTCCAAGCTCTGCTCCCTCAGTGAAGCAGCTACAAGTGCACAAATCGGTTTTGCAACAAGTCTGTTGAAAGAAGTGTTGCAAAAGTCGAGGCGAGCAGATTTGAAGTTGTGCGGTCATGTTTACGAGGTTGTGGGCTCGAATTTGTGGTTGTAGACACAGTTGTGAGAATATTTTCTACGAGTGAAAATTTTTACATGCAAGTTCAGATTTTAGTTCTACAAGTTCTCACATCAAAAATACAAGTACAGATTTTATTTTACAAGTTCTCAGATCAAGTCCTACAGGTTCTCAAGTTTTGCAACATAATTAGCCCCATACGTGAGTGGCAGTTCCAAAAGAAGCGGTGGCTGGCTTCACAGGTCTCGGAGGGAGCGTGTTAGCCTTCACCCTCCTAGCGTTGATAGTATTGTGTGATTGGGGGAGTCCTAACTAGCGGGTGGAATTGGAGACGACTAAACTGGGGAGAAAATTGGAAAAAAAAGCTAGACAACTTCCCCACAGTACCCAGCAAAGACTATGTTAAACTGCAGGAGCTCAGAGTTCTTGAATGGAACCCCAGTCAGCAAAAGAAGATTACTTGACTGGCTTGGCTTTTATTGACACTGCTTCACTATGCACTACAGAAGAAATGGATATCCCATGGATATCTAACTGGCCAAGTTCGAGGCTGAGAACTCCATTCTCTTTCTTTGTTGTGTTTATGTCTTGAAGCACTCAACGGGAATGACCATAGCTTTGCTTTTGCTAGCAATAGTGATGCCCCTATGAAAGAAAAACCATACAAACAGTGCTCTAGTTCAAAGTTCCCCATATTAGTTCACAAAACAGACACTCGCACTGAACATGATTTTACCAGAGGCACCATCTCAAAGCAGAATGAGAGCTCAGCTAAGAAATGCCCCATACTCAATAAACCCCACCCCCTGAAAAAGTGTAGCACTTTCAGCGGTATGCCAGGGGAAGAGAGAAAAGTCTTCCTTAAAAACAGCAGTAGTTTTTATAGATGTTGCGCATCATCCTCTCACCTGGCTAGAGACTGTAAAGTAACAACAAAATGTATTGAATGTGACATTGATTGCCACGTCTTCACAATGTAACAATCCAGTTTCTCAAGAATCTGTAAATTCCATCTCCACACCAGAGAACATTGTGAAGGGAGACAAAGGCCCAAACTCAGACTTCCAGCATCAACTGCCATCACACTGTAGTTTGTGTTAAGACTTAAGCACCTAGATCATGTGCAAAAATATGTCTAGCAAGAGTGTTTCCCCAAGGTCAGAGAGAAAAAGCTGTCAAAAGGTATGCTGTCCTTGATGACCAGAACGATCGCTCACTTGCCAGATCTGAGTTATTATATATCCAAGGCCATCCTTTCCCTTATTCGTTGCAGACCTGTTCTGGGGTGACTGACATTATTGACAAAAAGCAAAGGGTATCTGTTATAGAGGCAAACAGTGGAGAGACCAGCTTTGCCCTACAGCCATTGATAAAGTGTAACCAAATACCCAACAACAGATCTGAGATACTCACACCAAATGTGGCCCTCATCACCCTAACTCAAGTCTGTAGCACACACTCCTGACATTGAGTCCAATGCAGAAATCCTCCTCTTGTTAGTTAGAGATATCATCTGAGTGTCCAAAAGCTGGATTTGTGAGTGTCTTGCAAAATTGTCGAATGTCTTTCCTCACATCATGTGACAGCTTAATTCGGTTGCATAGTGATCAACCAGACAGTGAATGATAACAAGCTGGCTCCATCTTTTGAAGACAGTCTTTTTAAAGACTATGGACACTGAAGTATATAGGGACAAGACCAACAGCTGGGTTGGCCCCACTTCCCTTTAAAGAGCCTAGACAGTGGCTCACTTAAAACCTTGAGCAGGCTGTTGCACATTGCACCTCTTTGTGTTGTACCATGAATCACAGGCCTGAAATGAAAAATCAGTTCATGGGTAAACTTTTGAAGATTTTTGAGGTCATGCAGAGCAAGCACCACAATGCAGTTATCTGCATTTTTTTGGGTCTGCTACCCCTAGAAACCTAGGCAAATTAGGGTAATTTTTGACTCAAGTGTGTGGCACCACGACATGTCCTTGAACGGTGTGCCACACAGGCCTATATTTTAATAACAGCTTGGTGGGGGCCCCTCCTCCATTTTAGGAAGGAGAAAGTGGCATTTACTGCTGACATTCAGCAAATGTTCTACTGTTTCGTGGTGAGGGAGGACCACAGGAACTTTTTGAGGTTTCTGTGGTTCAGAGATAATGACCTCACCAAAGACATCATTGAGTACAGGATGTAAGTTCATAGACCTTCTCCAGCTGTTGCTATTTATGGACTTAGTGGATGCGTCAGAAGTGGGGCATGTTCCTGACCCACACAAAGTAGAGGCTATTCGCAACCAACTTGTCCCCACATCAGTGACAGTCCTGAGGTCGTTTTGGGGCCTAATTTGGCCATGATTTTGTAGAGACTTCATTGAAAACTTCAGTGAACTGGCACAACCACTGCATGCTTTGTTGAAAGGAAATCTAGCTAGGAAATGTAAGGCGGTTTTCTCCCAAAAGGCCTTATCTGCTTTTGAAACCCTCAAAGCCACTCAAGGCAGCTCCGTGATCTGTCGTTCATTCTGGAGACAGTAGCCTCAGATAATGCCCTTTCTGCGGTGTTACTGCAAAGTAACAGCAGCAGTGGAGTTGCAGCAGTGGAGTGCTGTGACCTTTGGCATACGCATCACAGGTCACGTCTATTGTGGAGCAGGCCTACGATGCCTGCGTTTGGCACCTGTTAGCAGTACGCTAGGCAGTTTTGCATTTTGCTCATGTCACTGGGTTCTGCAAGATCATCCTGCACATCCCCATGCAGATGCTGATGAAATGTAGGATAAGCAGCATTTTGAACACGTCTGGCCAGATGGACATAGGATCTAACTTTACAGGAAATTGAGGAGACATGTAAGCCTAAAACACAGTAGGTTTCTTCCCCAAACTGGTTGCTGTTTGTATCAAGGAGGAAAGGGACTTTGCATTCAGGTGTTATATTACTATAGGCAGGATAATTTGATAGCCTAAATGACCTCATAAAATGGTACTCCCAGCATTAAAACCATTGGTAGCATAATTCGATAGCCTAAATCTCCTCATATAATGATACTCCCAGCATTAAAACCATAGGTAGGATAATTTGAGAGCCTAAATCTCCTCATAAAACAACACTCTCAGCATTAAAACCGTAGGTAGGATAATTTGATAGCCTAAACCTCATTATAAAACAACACTCCCAGCAGTAAAACCATAGGTAGGATAATATGATAACCTAAATGACCTCATAAAACATTACTCCCAGCATTAAAACCATTGGTAGCATAATTCAATAGCCTAAATCTCCTCATAAAATGATACTCCCAGCATTAAAACCATAGGTAGGATAATTTGAGAGCATAAATCTCCTCATAAAACAACACTCTCAGTAGTAAAACCATAGGTAGGATAATATGATAGCCTAAATGACCTCATAAAATGATACTCCCAGCATTAAAACCATAGGTAGGATAATTTGAGAGCATAAATCTCATAAAACAATACTCCCAGCATTAAAACCATTGGCAGGGTAATTTGATAGCCTAAATCTCCTCATAAAACAACACTCTCAGCATTAAAACCGTAGGTAGGATAATTTGATAGCCTAAATGACCTCATAAAACAATACTCCCAGCATTAAAACCATTGGTAGCATAATTCGATAGCCTAAATTTCCTCATACAATGATACTCCCAGCATTAAACACATTGGTAGCATAATTTGATAGCCTAAATAACCTCATACAATGATACGCCTTGCATTAAAACTATAGGTAGGATAATTTAATGGCCTAAATCACCTCAGAAAATGATACTCTCAGCACTAAAACCATTGGTATGATAATTTGATAGCCTAAATCACCTCATGAAACAATACATCCAGCAGATGATTGGAGTTCAGTCTGAATCCGGTGTGCCTTTTATGTGCTTCACTACTGCTTTAATTGCAATGGAGACTAGCTGTTATTAATTTTGGAGAAATGTCTTTTTTTCCCTTACATACCTGGTTACTGTTACTATATGCTAAAAGAATGTCTAACCTGACACAGCTTGGACTAACCTGTTCAAACTTTGTTTTTAATTGAACATAATATTGTAAATGTTAATCAGAGAGACACCATGTTTTTAGGAAAAAAATACTGCTTATTTAGTCAGTTTTTTTAATCTGTTCTTTAAAAACAATGCACACAGCAAATGACATACAATGAAGTAAACTTTCAAGTCCTTGACACCAACTGTAAAGTGCACAACAAAGAAAATAAAAACAAATTGAGGTTCATTTGTTTAGCACTGGTAACTGGTGTCTTTTTCATTATCATACTGGGCACACTAAAAATGTGCCCAGCGGTTGCACTCATCACACTGCACCTAAAAATAAAGTTGTAAATTAGTAACCTGAAACAATGCACAGCATTAAAAATAAATAAATAAACATTAATGAAAGAAAATTCATTCAATACTACTTAAATTTAGGTAAATATTATTTTCTGTATTTTTCCATGTTCACTGCACATTTATTGTAATCCTTTATTAACAATATTAAGTAGCATATATTTGTGGACATGTAAATATTTACCATTTCAATCAAGCTCTTGTCAGCATCCACTTCCAGCATACAGCAAACTATGCAGTAGTCCTCTGTATTGCCTAGATTCATTTCCATTAGATGTTTAAATATAAGAAAAAAATGTAACTTCAATAACAATATTGACACTAGAGTGTTATTAAAATAATTCAACACTGCATGCAATTAATTATTTTGTGTGAAATCACAAATAAAAGTGCACATAAAATGTACTTTAACTGGGTAGGATTTGTAGTATATTTAGTATAAATACTTCCCAATATATGAGTAAAAAAAAATTACTGTGCAATGATGCACTACTTCACTCGTAATATATATACCCTGGACACTTTATTAGGTACATATATACACAATTCAGCCAGTTCGTTAAGTACACCTCCTTGTTTCTACACTCAGTGTCCATTTAATCAGCTCCACTGACGTGGTGGTGGTGTGTTAGTGTGTGTTGTGCTGGTGCAAGTGGATCAGACACAGCAGTGCTGCTGGAGTTTTTAATACCTCAGTGTCACTGCTGGACTGAGAACCAAAAATATCCAGCCAACAGCATCCTGTAACCACTGATGAAGGACTCTGTATTATTACAGTATAGAATGGCATAACTGTACAACTCACCTTTACATTCAAGCAGTGAACAGGCTCCATTTGTGCAGTGCTAACAGCTGCTTTTGTTGTCTGCATGTTGCCAATCTCTCCTGTCAAAAGGAAATCTTCTGTAAACTACAATATTAATTATTAACAAACCTTTGAAACTGTAATTTTACTGGCATGAAAACATTTATGTTAAAAAAAGTGTACCTTCAGTACTAACACTCCACAGCTGCTAGAATCTTGCTGTGGGTTGTGCTGCATTGCTTTTATTTGCCATTCAGCACAGTAGTCTTTGTATCCCACCATCTTCAAAACAAATTATATTTTTGGTCCAAGACATTGGTACAGTTTACAGTCTGGCATGTAAATTTCTTTGTAACAAGGATGAATCATGTTTCTCCATAAGCAGTATTACCTCCAGTTCCGCAGAATTTTTCTCTCATGCAATTCCTCGTTTCCCAGCGGATCAGTGACAGAGATTGTCTTCATTGACATGTTGACCATCTAAAAAATATTATGTAAATACTTTAGGCTTTAAAGTAACTTTGAGTATATAAGCTATATTATTAATAACTTTAATAATATTTATAATACCTTTACTACACTTTAAGCAAAAGATTCTAAATAGTACCAAAAAAGGTCCTTTACCCAACTCGTATTCTAAAGTATCATACATGTTACACATGCGGTGGGAAATGAGGAGCCTTGCGATCTTCACAAGCTGAAAGCACAAACAATGCACATTTCGTCAGCTCTGAAACATGGCTGTACACATGCATACATACCCAGCCATTACCATGTCTTGGGATGTCTTAAGACGTGTCTAAAGACACATTATAAAGACGTCTTAGGACATCTTGAGGCATGTCGTAAGAAATGAAGACATGTCTTTAAGACATGTCTATAGACATGGATCTTAAGATGTCTTGGCAATAATAACATCCCAAGATGTCTGAAGATGTAGGATGCATAATACGCATTTTTAAATTTTACCTACTTTTTTTAAAATAAATCTTTTACTTTTAAATATTTTTAAGGGATTTTTAAAACGTAACATTATAGCAAAACTTCTAGTAATTATTTTTTTTCCCCATTATTTAATTTTTTTGTTCTATGTAGGATGCATAATGGTATCACTTATTTTAATATATATATATATATATATATATATATATATATATATATATATTGTATATTATTTTATAAACATACAAACATTACATACATTAGTACATACTACATGTATACATTTCAGAACAAATTTAACAACAAAGGTAATTAATAATAATAATAATAATAATAGGCACATGGTTCCCAGTCTGTAACTTTCTCTACAATAAGCCATTTTATATGAAACCACTAAATGACTTTGTTTACATCGCAATGACAGAATCAAGTGTACAAAAATGTGGAATTCGCCTTTAAATGTTTCTGTTGCATTAGAAAAGTTTATGGAATCAGTGAAAATTTATTTCAAAAATTTAGTTCAGACCTTGCCTTCAACATGGTGGTAGTATGAGGGAAGACTCTTCTGCAACTATTTTGTAATACAGCATTGCTGCAAAATTTAAAAATCTAATTCAGTTCTTTTAAATACCTTTTTATAGTAATTAACCCTTCATGTTTTAAAAATTTGTTAAAAATACTATTTTACAGTTGCTTCATTTTTTAATGAAGGTATCATTTTATCAACTTTTAAAATAATAATAAGAAGGAGAACAAAGAACAATAATAAGCATGCATAAATTACAGTAATGTAATTTAAAGGGGTATGGAAAAATCACTATTTTACAGTTTTGTATTTCCTTGTTAATCTGTTAAAAATTCAGAATACTTCTACATTCAAATAATTTACTCTGCAATCCAAAGCATAGCCCATGAAAAAGCACCCACATAGCTTTCAAAAAATATAGATTACAGTTATTGTTTATTGTTTTTACAACTGTGTATATGCATAGTACAATAGCGTCATCACACTTGATATGTTCTACAGACGGAGAAAAACATGTTAACTGACTTTGTGTAGAAATTTGAAATATACTGCAATAAATACACAGTTCCGACCAATGAATCTGATTTTAAGGTCTGCTGTTATTCCGTATATAAGTTATGCTAAAGTTATTAGCAATACAGTACTATAAACAATTATAAATGATGGGAAACAATTTTAAGACAAATTCATATGGACTAAAAAGAAAAACTGACCAACAGAGTAATACAGAGGTCTGAACCCCAGCAGCACTCCTAACATACCTGAGCCAGATAATGATCAGCTGTCAAACAATTAATACCAGACTCAGATGTGCTGGTAGCTGGAATAGAGCCAAGCTGTGGACATTTTATGTGGACATATGTGGACACAGGAAACAGGACACAGATAACTCGATGTGCATATGTCCATGCCATAATGCCTGAACACTAACATTACTGATATCACACTGCTAATGCTGTTACCGATCTTTCCTTTCAGAGTTAAATCCATGATGAGTGAGAGAGCTGTCAGAATCACAGCCCATCGCTTCTTCCTCTGTTTTTTCTCAGTGTTGGTCTTCTTTGTCAGAGATATGAGGAAAATGCATCTGTTAAAAAAAAAATCAATTTTAAGACAAATTTGAAATTACTTTTGGATCTGCATACACAAGCAGGCTGAATTTAAAGGGGACCTATTATGCTAATTTCCAATGTTCATAAATTTATTTTTGGGGTCTACTATAATACATTTACATGCTTCAGTGTTCCAGAAACACATTATTTTTCTCATACTGTAATTGTTTATTCACCCTCTGTCTGAAACACTCTGTTAGAGCTCCTGGTCTTTAAGCCCCTCCTTCCTGATGAGCCCAGTACGCTCAGATTAGTTAGCTCGCTCACTTGGCTCTGACTGATCAAGAGCCAGAGTGGTTCCGCCAATACACGGCCTCCGGTAGATGCGTTGCGTTGTGTGAGGGCATGCCAAGTTCGCTGGTAGGTGGGCAATAAGGATTGTGTTATGGGATTACATCATCTTGTAACAAAGGAAAAGGGCTGGGGAACTCCAGCCCTCAGGCAGCTGAGAAAAGTTTCTCCCTCGTGGCACCCAGCTCACACGCATAGCTGATGTTCAGGCAATGATGTTCAGTGTAATGAAAGAAGCATCAAGATGAGGCCACTTGGGTAAGAGCACAGTTGAGTGTTGAGAATGATATGGACTGCCACCATACTGGATGAGGCCCAAAAAGAGGATGTTCCTTTGGAAGGATTGAAAACAACAAAGTTGATTAGATAATTCACAATTCTATTGTTTTCATCCTCTAACATGCCAAAGTCAACATGCAACAGAAATGATCATTTGCAGTTGAGGCAGGTGTGAGCTTAGTACTGATATCTGTATATGAAAAAGTAAATTCATAAATATTGATACAGTGTTGGTGATATTGCCATATCGATATTTTGAACACTGTAGTGGCAAATAACAAATAAATTGAATGAATACAGCGCAGATATTTGAATACTGTAACCCAGTTTTACCTAAACATTCTGCTCTTCTGTATTACAATAAATACCTCATGAAATATATTTGTTTGAAATACCCACCAAATCTAAACATCTGTCTGACATTCATATAGTTTTATTTAAAAAATTAAAACTTGAGTCTCACCAGTTGCTCAGCTTCAGATAATTTCTGATGAGAAACATCTAAAACAAAACAGACACATGAGGTAAATGCGGCAAAACAACAACATCAAAGCATAACAATGAAAAACACAAAACAAACCGGTCATTATATATTACTAATAAATGTAGCCGAGTAAAACATAGATTATTATTATAAAGCACAAATACATTTTAAAAAACTCTAGAGTACAAATCCACCCAGATGTTACTAGAGTAAATGTAACTGAGCAAATTAAAATTATTACTACCTTCTCTGAACTACACAGACTGACGGACTATGTTCAGTTTCATTGTTGTATTGTTCAGTTTGCTAACCTCGTTACACTGTGATCAATCTTAGATTTAATTCTGAGGCCTTTCATTTGCTCCAGCTACCTCAATGCTTCAACTGACTGATTCTGCTGCGCACAAGCACAGTTCCTCACCTGTCAATACTCCAAACCTTATGAGCCTCTGTGGCTGCACTGCTGGGATGAGACAGCTGTGAAGCTGGGCGGTATGTTCACAGGGCGCCGCTGGGAGCGGGTGCTAAGCGAAATCTGACGCAGCCGAGAGGCATAAACAGACACGCCGCTTAGCCGCTAGCTAGCTAACTATACGCTAACCTAACGCTGGTGTCTTCACTCTGCAGATCGACCCAGAAATATAGAAAAAAAAGTTTACTCCAGCTGACTGTTAGTGAGGCTGCTCATCTCATTTTGTCACTACTCACCTTTTAAAAGCAGATTCTGACCGTTGCAGTCGTAACTCCAGTCGCCACTCCACTCGATCCAGCCAGCTAACTTAGTTAGCTTACTACGCAGCTGAAAACTCCTCGTTTTTGGGAGCTGAAAGCGTCACCCGGCAGGCGGCGCTGTCTTAGTAAGGAATGTAAGAGACGGTCTTATCGAGGTTTAACACTCGCTAAACAAACTCGATAAAACTGCCCGCGTTAGCGACGTGACTGAGTCACTCACTGTAAACGGCTCGTAACGGTCGCGTTCGGCTTTAAAAGGAGGAACGGCGGAGAGCGCTCGCGCTTCAAAACCGAACGTCCAAGCGGCGGAGTATCGCGCTCTGATTGGTCTGAAACTCCCGCCAGTCTTTTGTTTGTCCTCCCATAGATCTTTTTTTTTCTGGTTCGCACGGCTCTGCTGTACTGAATTAACTGTGCTGTTTTGTTTTTGTTTGTTTGTTTTTTTAATCTAGACACAGAATAGAAAACTGCAAACTCTTGAAATACATAAGACAGCTGTACAGGATTATCATACAAAGCATCACTGGAGGCCATGTCTTAAAACATTAAAGTCAAAGTATGAAGTTGGACATTTAAACAAAAATCTGTTTATTATGTAATTTTACGTGGTGAAACAATATAGGTCTTTATATTACTACTCAAATACATTTGTTTATTATTGTCTGTGTTTTCCAAATACCTGGAGATAATAATTTTGAAAGTTATACATGGTATATAAAAAAAGTTTGTTCTCTCTTTCTGTTGGGCCAAATTAAAAGTCCTAATGGTCTAACTTTGGGCAGCCCTGATCTGCTTAAGAAAATAAACAGAAGTGTAGATGTTGAAGAGAGTGAACCGAGTGCTTTTTTTGCATTACGTTTTGGTGGTATGTGATCTCTAAAGTACCCAGGTTAGCTGTTAAGTACACTTACTTCCTATTAGTTCAAAGTTGTTTTATCTTGGTTCCTAGCTTGTTGTCTCTGGTTACAATTGTACATTTGAAAATAGATCAATGTTGTTTTAATCATAGCACGTTTTCTGCAAATGAGTAAAAGGCTGTGACTGACTGTGATTATCTCCATTGGTAAATGTTACAAATTAAAAGTTACTCTACCATGAACTTCAATGATATAAGGAAATGAGTTTACACTTTAAATTTTAAGGTAAGGTAAATGGTTTAAGAATTGATTTTTTCTTTTGCTGTTTTGCTACTGTAAACACATTTCTGCAACAATCAAAAAACCAAACATACAAAAGAATCACAAAAGTACAGCAAGAAAAACCTTAGTGAATGTTCTTTTAGTAATATCACACAAAAACCATAAGATTACAGCAGGCTGTTTCTCGAGGACATACTTGTTACATTCTCATTATATTTTACATTAGGCAGTGCTGTAGTAATCCTGGTAATCCTCAGTTGTAATTTTGTATTGTAAGTTTGGCAGTACCACAGGAATACCACATTCATACCACAGGACTTTTTGTAATGGACTACTCTTTGGACTCAACTGAACTGTCTTAAGACACAACATCTCTGTGTCTTAAGACAAAGTGATGTCTTAAGTCATGCCCCATCTTCAAGACACACAAAATAATTACTTCTTTGTCTTAAGACGTTAACTTTCATGTCTCAAGACAAAGACAGTGTGTTCACTCATACGTCTTAAGATGTCTTGGCATAAGGAAATGTCTCAAGACATCTTATAAATACTGTCAAGACATCTTAAGACACAGTGACACCTGGCTATGTGGCTCTTACAATGCACCTGATTGTACAGGACCCTCTCGCTGCACTAGTTTTTTCTGTATCCGAACGAAGTAAAATACAACTCAAATAATTCAAAACTTTAACAAAAGGCTTCCCTCAATGGGACAAGTTTCTTATTTCACTAGCACCATCCCGTCTCCCTCAAATATTGCAGGCTACCATTGTGAGGCTCAACAGGTCATCAACACTTTCACAGCTACGCTAGACCATACTGATTTCTACAGTTGTCAGTATTCACTCACACCCAAGCATACGACTCACATTTGCTACTACAATGCTGTTTATGTCATACACATTCATTTAGCATCACTATTTCCTATCGTTAATACAGTTTAGCTCACCTGAAAGCACAAACAATGCACATTTCGTCAGCTCTGAAACATGGCTGTACACATGGCACTTACAATGCACTTGATTGTACAGGACCCTCTCGCTGCACTAGATGCCTAAACGCCTGAGTGAGCAGTACATTCCTGATGTGTGTTCCCCAACAAAGTATACTGCAGTTATTTATAATGAGGATTACAGTGCACAGTGTACATAAAACAAAATAAAAATTAAGAAAATGGGGGGGGGGTATTCATATGCATAACATAAATTAGTCCCACATACACATTTTAGTGTTTTACTTATTACAAAATACACTAGATGGTGAAACAGAGCAGGAAAGCTCCAAGACAGGGTGACTCCAGAACCAGGATTATGAACTATAATGAAAGGCTAAAAAACATAACAAAACAAACAATTTATTTTGAAATTTGTTTTGAATTTATGAAATTAAAGTCTTTCTGACTACAATATGCTGTAATATTAGTCACTCACTACAATATATGTCCTGACAATATATTCAAAACAGTGACCAATAATGTCTGGAAACTAGCAAAGCAAGATTACTGAAGCTATGTAGTTTGAAAACACACACAAGAATCCATTGTGCTCCAGTACTGACACGACTGAACTGGAAACTTTATCTGCATGAAGGTTTAAACAGAAAATGTTAGTTATGGTTTAATAATGAAAATGTTTGTTATGGTTCTAAATTGTGTAAGTAATAACCAGTACCGTCCAGGTAAGTGCATTACCTTACTGAGACATCGAAACTGTCCAGCAAACAAAGACAAAGCAACCACTGCAGTCAGCTGATATGCAGGCTTCTGCAATAAAAGCATCAGCAATATAAAAAATAATCAAGAAAGAAGAAAAATCTCAAAATAGCTATAAATCCTGCTTGCCTTATGCTTTTCAATCAGAGGGTGCATGTATGCATTAATGACCTGTATATACATAAAAAATATTAATAAACGAATAAACAATTTGGTGAACTTTGAACATTGTAATTTCCAGACGGGGTAGTTCAGGTTCAGGAAGTAAAAAATGTGAGGATTTTGTTCCAATCACCTGGCTTCTCTGGTTAGCTCAAAGCAGCAGCAGACGTATCCAGCCAGTTGGAATAAAATCCCAGGGAGGATTTTTACTTCCTGGAACTGAATTACACACCTTTGCTAATTTCTGATTCTTACTTCATCAGAAGTACTTCATGGTCCAACAACTGCTTCCACCTGACCATGGTCCTTTGAACCCCAGTGCCTCAGTACTGAAAAGTAAATATGTAAATATCAGTGTTTGTGTTTTTCTGTTGACGAACAACAAGACAAGGCCAACAAGGCAACATAAAATGAACAGTCTATAACAAACATGGCCAAACGGGCCTCATGCAAACAACAATGAAACTGAAAAATAAAAGGGGTGGACATCATAACCTCAACAATATGTTAATCCAAAATTTAACAAATGTGTTTAGCAGCAGTATCTTGGTCTTGGTAGGAAATCATTAGTGTTTACCCCACAATGTTCACATGGTACTATAACATGGCCTCATTCTTTAGTCATTATATGATCAGTGTATTAATCTGACCCAGAGGTTTCCACAAGATGGCTGTCCATGCCATTGTGAACAGCAATCTTGCCATAAATTTCAGGTTTATGAATAACTTGACAGTGCTCTTCTTTACTACTGTAATTTCTCATGTTCGACACATTAGATATTTTGGATTTACATAGATTATTTTGTCCACCTTATAACACCCAGCAGGACCCTTTTCCTACTGAGTTTATATCAAAACACAGGGAACGAGAACGTCTTGGACTATGCTGAATGAATGGACAAGCAAATAAGAAATACAACAAAGGTGGTGTACCTTTTCTGGTGTTATTGTAAAGATGAACAGGCTAATATGGAATACAAATCCCACCTCTACACAGACACAAGCAATTTAATCCTCAACCCACCACCCACAAATACAAAAAGAGAAAAAAAGAATCAATTTGAGTCCATTTGGGCCTGTGGCCTCCTCAAGAGTCCCAAAGTATTATAAAAAAGTCAAACCAGTCCTTTTTTGGAGAAACAGAGATGAGTGGAAGCTGGATGATAATGAGTTAATCCCACAGTAGAACGTCCATCACATCACACGCATATTGAATCTTCTCAGGTGTCACATGCCTCTCTTGCCACCAGCAGTTCACAAATAGGCACCAAAAAGTCCTTCTGCAAACACAGGTATTATCAAATGAATTTACAACTGAAAAACTGAAAATGTGGCCTGCTAACACAAACCTTAGCTTTAGCATAAGCCCCAAACAAGCTTCAGCACAATGTTTGTATCCAGCACAAAGATAAAGAAAAAAAAACATCCAACACTTACTGAATGAAAAGGGAATAGAAGTTCCTCAAACAAAGGACTGTGAAAGTTGCACAGCAGGAGCTTCTCCACAACAACAGAGGTTTGTCACCATGATGCTCAACTTCTTCTTTGCCACCCTTATATGGGATACTAGAGACACTAAGATGAACTAGCCCCCTCTAGAGGCCTGGATGCATTAACTTACATTGCCTCATGACCAAACACAAAATGCAACTACTGGAATAGATGTAAATCTGTTACATACCCCTCCCCCCAGTGACAGGCACTGCTGGGCCGTAATAACTTTTGATGTTCTCTGTGTGAATTGTGTCTGTTACCCCTGGAGAGTCAGGGTACTCTATCTTGTAATTAACTTCCTCATCCACACTAATTCGCCTTCTTTGAACTCTTCCTGCTTTCTCCGGGCATTGTAATATCGGGCCTGCCTGAGCTGACTCCGTTGAACATTCTCCTTTACCATGTTCCGCATTTGCTGCAGGTGCTGAGTTTTGTCATAAGCACCCTGCTCAGGGTCGGGAGCATGTTTGAGAAGGTTCTCCAAAGGTCCTTTGAGCTTTCTTCCCATTGCAAGTTCTGCAGGGGTGAATCCTGTGCTCTCATGCCATGCGGAATTGATGGCAAACCTGAATTCTGTAGGGAAAGGGCCCATGAAATCCAGACCCCACATGTAACCAGGCTCTACAGAAGCAGTGGACTGTAGTAGCCTGCTGAGCTTGGATATTCTAGGCTTGTACTTCTGGCAAACCTGGCACTGTTTGCAGTACTCCCAGACATCCTTTCTGATGGTTGGCCAATAAACCACATTGAGTATCCTCATCAGGGTCTTCATTCTGCCTAGATGTCCACTGAGAGGGTTGTCATGGGCATACTTGAGGATAGCAGGGCGAAGACTTGAAGGGATCACCAGTTGGTCCCTGTGTCCACCAACCTTCTCTGGGAGTCTCTGAAAGAGAAAGCCATTCTGGAGCACATATGGGATTCGATTAGGTTCTTTTGGGTCTTGCTTGAATTCCTGAATTAATTGCTGAATCTCTGGGTCTGCCAGCTGGCTAGTGCCAATCTCTTCCCACGATACTGGGAGTTGGGTTAAAGGTAAAGAAGGTTGACAGATGGCAAGAGGTGCTGCTGGAGGGAGACTGCGTGACAGTGAATCAGGGACCACATTACATTGACCTTTACAGTACACCTTACAGTGACCTTAAAGTCAAAGCTTTGTAACTTAATGGCCCATCTGGTTAGTCATGATGATGGCCTTCGCTGATTGAAAACCCAAGTAAGGGCAGCATAATCTGTGACCACAGTGAACTTATGTCCCTCCAGGTATTGCCTCCATTTCTCAATTGCCCATACCACTGCCAAACACTCCTTCTCCGACACCGAATAGGCCTGTTCAGCAGGATTAAGCAACCGAGAAGCATAAGCAATGACTTGCTCTTGGTCCTGTGTGAGAACCGCCCCTACTCCATTTTCACTAGCATCGGTCTGAACCACAAAGGGTTTTGAAAAATCCTTGCAAGATAGGGGCAGATTGAAGGGCTTCCTTAATATCCCTAAAGGCATTTTGACATGCACTGCCCCAATTCCAAACAGCTCCCTTCTTCTTCAGCTGATGAAGAGGTGCAGCTCACTGGGAAAACTGAGGGATAAAACGATGATACCATCCTGCCATGCCGAGGAACCGCTGAACCTTTGATGTTTTTCGGCTCAGGATAGTCTTGGATGGCCTGGATTTTGTTGGGACTCGTCTGGATGCCCTTCTCTGATACCACATGCCCTAAGGTCAATGAACGCTGCAAGAGGTTGCACTTTTTGAGGTTAAGGGTGAGTCTGGCCTGCTGTAACCTTGAGAAGACTGCACTGAGATGGGAAAGATGTTGTTCCACATCTGGAGAGTAGATCACAATGTCATCTATGTAGACAAAGGAGCACTTTCCTCTCAGGTCTTGCAACACATTTTCTATCAGACGCTGGAAGGTAGCTGCAGCATTTTTAAGTCCATAAGGAAGGCGTGTAAACTCATATAACCCTCGATAGGTAACGAAAGCAGTCTTTGGTATGCTGGACTCTTCAAGACCCACTTGCGAGTACCCGCTTTTCAGGTCTAGTGTACTGAAAATGCGAGCACCATGCAAGGACTCCACAATCTCCTGAATCTGAGGCATGGGGTAGGCATCCAAATGAGTCTTGGCATTTAACCCATGATAATCAACACAAAAGCGAATCCCACTATCTTTCTTTGGTACCAGAACGACAGGAGAGGTCCACGGTGAGATGGAAGGCCTTATGATGTTCTTTTCCAGCATGTCGTTGATTTCCTGTTCAATGAACTTGTTCTTCTCCAGTGACACCCTATAGGCTTTCTTTCTGATGGGTATATGGTCGCTGGTATTAATTTGATGCTGGAGTCTGGAAGTGAAACCCAGTACATCAGTACACACCTGTGGCCACTGAAGTAATAAGTCATGGAGTCTCTCTTTGTCCAAAGTGTCTACATCAGCTCTGTCTCTCAACAGGTCAAGATGTTGTAGGGTTTGATGAGAGACACTTGGCAACGGCTGGGCCATATACAGTTGCAGGGTATCTTGCAATGAGGTTGGGGTTTTGCCAAATGGATAAACCTGAGAGACACCCTCTACATCAGGCAACTGGTATGAGGACTGCTGGAAGTTAATGGTCACCCCAGCACTGTGTAGGAAGTCCATGCCCAGAACCAAAGGAAATGCTAGGTCGCTGTTGTACGCAGCACGTACAATTTCAGATTCAGCTCACGATCATGGAAACTGCAGTCCCATTCAATCATGCCTAAAGCACTCTGCATTGCCCCATTGGCCAAAGAAAATGTCTGCCCTCCCAAAGGCTTCCAGACCTCCCTTGGTGCCTTTAACTTCTCCCAAAGAGAATATTTTATTAGGGAATAAGTGCTCCCTGTGTCCACTAAAGCATGTATTATTCGGGACTTGATCTTAACAGGGAAAGCAACTGGCTGCCTTGGGTTAGTTCTGCTGACAGGTTGTCCCTCAGTAGAGTGTTTTTTTGCTTGTTGGGGGGAGGAGGTCTCTTCTTCTGAGCTTCACTGTTAGCAAGTGCATAAAAGGACTTCATCTCAGACATCTCTCTTTCAATTAGGGTTCCCACTCTCACTAAATCTGCCACAGTCTTCACTGTACCTCTCAAAAGGCTAGCCAGGCGAGGATTACAGTTTCTCAGAGTGGCTTGGACAATGTGTCTTTCTGGCATGTCTTGTTTCCACCTGAGGCAAAGAGCATGGTACTGGAAGGCAAAGTCTCTGAGGTTCTCTGTGGTCCCTTGACGCCTTTCATGAAGGCTTCTTTCTACTTCTGCCTCATAATCATCCGTTAGAAAGGATTTTAGAAATACAGCTTTGAACTGTGGCCAGGGGCTGATATACCTTCTCTCTGCGGACCACCAGTCCTTAGCAGTCCCCTCTATAGCAGATGTTAAGACTGCAAACAATTCAGCCTCACTCAGGGGGTGGACAGCTAAAAACTCTTCACACTTCTCCACAAAGGTGACTGGATCCATGTCCTCGTCTCTGCCCCCATACTTGGGAAAATCAAGGCGTATAGGGGGCTTGGAGTGAACAACAGTACACGTTTCCTGCTGATGTAGGGGTGAAGGGAAGCTGACTCTTTGTCTAGGCCTTGGCTGTGGTTCAGAAACACCAGCTTCAACTGGATTCCCGTCCAAGCTTGAAATGGAATGGCGGACTGGAAAAGCAGTAGGAATGGAATGGTCAACAACAACAACAGAGGTTTGTTTGTTGGAGTCACCATGATGCTCAACTTCTTCTTTGCCACCCTTATATGGGATACTAGAGACACTAAGATGGCACTACGTTAACTCTTAAGCAGCGACTCGAGCCAGTGGCTCAAACTGGTGAGGCTCAAGACGCACTGCCTGATCAGAAAGAAGATGGGGATCGTAGTGGAGAAAAATTGTCAACCTCATAAGACTTCAGAGTCACAAAAGTGATGTTTCATTCTCTCACTCTCCTTATTTTCTGGTAGCTAAGGTTATCTATAAAAACACAGCAGCCCTGCCCACCCAGTTTCCCTTGCAGCCCCACCTCCAAACCTGAACATCACAGCGTGCCCCTCCCATTTTTGAGCATTTAGGAGTAATATATATATATTACTCCTTATATATATATATATATATATATATATATATATATATATATATATATATATATACACACACACACACACACATATATATATATACATACATACATATATATATATATATATATATATATATATATATAAAAATAATATTCATATTTTATATATATATTTACAGGGCTGCAACAAATGACTAATTTGATAAATTGTAAATGTGATGTTTTAATAATGTAAAGGCTTTACTGTACACCTTTTCACATTGTCAAGTTTTTTGCATATGCTTTCATCATTGTGTTTTTGTCCTGCAAGCACTACAATTCCTTTAGGAAATTAATATTGAGCAGTGGTTCCCAAACATTTTATAGTCACTTTTTACACCCCCTCAGACATTAAATGGCCTGCTGAATATCCCCTCTAGCTCCTTATATACACATGTGCATCATGTCAATTTGCACATATGTAAGACATTTAGCCTACAATGCCACTTAATTCATCAAATGTTTTTAATATGGTCACAGTGTACCAGATGTATAATAGACATTTTTGTTAATGTTTATCTAAAAATATATAATACTGAAGAAATAGATAATATTGGGGATGCTTCTGAATCAGTCTGTAGAAGTATGATTCACTCTGAAGTGCAACACAGTAAAGTATTTTTTTAATAGTGATAAAACATGAAGCAGGGCAACACACAGATAACTAAAATTCTAATGGTTAAGCACTAATCACAGCATCTGCAAACTAATAACTTACTATATTTGCAAACTAAACCACATATGTGAAAGTGAAACTTATTCATCTAAATTACAGTCAATAAAATACTCACTTTCTTCAGCTTCCACAACAGCACAGGATAAATTAATAAACTAATGAACCATTAGTTTCACTTGAACGTGCAACATGCAGGCAGGACCGGGGAACAACACATTGTTCTCCAACATAAGCATTTTATACTAAAAGAGTAAAA